TCAGTGCCCATGAGTGAGTTTCCTCTAAGGCAGGGTCAGAATTGGCCCCTGAAGCCCAGTGACTTGACCGAGGTCCTGACTTCCCTAGTCTCGCCAGAATTTTCTGTTATCAGGGAAGGATTTATAGCCCTACACTGTCCGCCTGTTGGGCTTCCTCCTAGAAGCCAAGTGTTAGCTGGCATTTTTGATGTTCCCAACCCTGGACTGGATCTGCCTGGATACAAAGACTCACACATCAATTCACCCTGTAGGGACTGATGTCACTCCCTCTCTCCAGACTGCAGTTCTGTCCTTGACCAGTTGCCCCATTGCAGTCCTGCAAAGTCTGAGCCTTCATTTTCTTGCAACTGCGAGGAAGGCTAAGCCTCCATCCTGTTTCGAATGTGACTCTTTCAAATTTATGATGGACAAATCCAGGGAAGAAGGCACGTTGAGAAGTCTGGGCCTCTCCTCTGGGGAAGGACTCGTTATGGGGCGGAACATCTTCCCCAGCCAAGGAGTCTCCACAAAGCCTCCTTCATGTCCCTGTTCTGCAGGCTGTAGATAAAGGGGTTCAGCATGGGGGTGACCATCGTGTACATGACAGATGCCACCATTCCAGTGTCTGCTGAGTACGAGGATGAGGGCTGGAAATATACCAGAAAGACAGTTCCATAGAAGAGTGTGACCACTGTCAGGTGAGAGCCACAGGTAGAGAAGACTTTCTGCCTCCCCCCAGCAGAGGAGACCCTGAGGATGGTGTGGATGATGTGGGCATAAGAGACCAGGACACAGGTGAGAGGGACCACACCCGAGAGGGCTGCTTCTGCAAACATCATGGTCTGAAAGATGTGAGTGTCTGAGCAGGCACGTTTGAGGAGTGGGAGGAGATCACAGAAGAAGTGCGGGATGGAATGGGAGGCACAGAAGGAAAACCGAGACATAAGGAGAGTGAGTGAGAAGGCCAGGAGGTGGGAGCAGAGCCAGGATGCCGCAACCAGCAGCAGGCAGCGCTGGGGACACATGATCGTGGCGTAGTGGAGAGGAAGGCAGATGGCCACGTAGCGGTCATATGCCATCACGGCCAACAGGAAGTCATCCAGCAGGGCCAATGCCATGAAGAAGTACATCTGCACGAGGCACCCCGTGTAGGAGATGGTATAGCGCTGTGTGTGGACGTTTACCAGGACCTCGGGGACAATGGTGCAGGAGAAGCAGGTGTCAGTGAAGGACAGGTTGGCCAGGAAGAAGTACATGGGGGTGTGGAGGCGAGGGTCAGAGCCGATGGCCAGGATGATGAGCAGGTTCCCCAGCACGGTGACCAGGTACACGCCCAGGAAGAGCCCGAAGAGGAGAGGCTGCTGCTCTGGGTGTTGAGAGAATCCCAGGAGCAGGAAGTCAGGGCTGCTGGTTTGATTTCTAATTCCATTTGAAGTGGAAAAATTGGAGGAAAATATCACTTACATATCTGTAGACTCCAGTTATTTTTGTCTGTTATCTGTGTGTTTTGCAAAGGTCCCAGAGATGCACAGTCATCTCTTGCTGGTGGGCATGTAAACACGCACAGAGGTGAGAACTAAGGGCGGTGGTAATGGGGGGCTGGCTGAGGGTTAACTCTGCATTTTAGCTGTCTGTTGAGTTGTCCTGTAAACCTCCTGGGTGAAGTGGAACTGGAGATTAGCTGGGAAGAAAATCCTATGTCTTGGTCCACTTCTATCTTTTAAGTAAGAAAGTTACCTATTTCATAGGTTTGAGAAATTTGAATAAGATATTTTGGGGATATGCATTTACTGGGAAATTCTTAAATTCTTTTCTCTCTTTGTGTGTGTGTGCGTTGAGGAGTACAAAAGGAATACTAATTACATAGAAAGGTCATAGCTGGCACTTGGGTATCCTGCCCTCTTTTTCTTTTGCAGACCCATCAAATGAGCTAATGTGGATAAAATTACTTTATAAACTCAAAGGTATTTTACAAACAAAACTTCCCATCCTCACCTCCATCATCTTCATCATCAACAACATCACCAGCATCTTCAGTCCTTAGGAGTGTCAGCCTTGGTGTCTTATGCACCAGATGGAGATGCTCTCTGGCTGCGTTATCTTTGCAACCTACACATCCTCTTAGCCTCTTTGAGCTTCAGTTACCTCATCTATAAATTAGGTGCATGCTTTGCATACTTACTGTAGACAGTCAGTGAGGTGACGTATTTCAAAGCACTAGCACGTACTAGGTCTTCAATGAATTGTGGTAATAGTTACCAGCATTACTAGAAGCAGTAGTAAGATGAAGGGGAACCTGGGGTTGCTCATGCACCGGAAGATGTTAGGGTACATGTCCCCCAGCTCTAAATCCTCATTGCTTTTTATATTTTGGGTAAATTATTTATTATTTCTGAGTCTCATCTTCTTTGTCTGTAAGATGTGGGCATAAACCTACCACTGAGGACTGCTGAAAATATCAAAATGCCAGAAAGAGTTAAAAGTGTTTTCAGGACCTGTGATACAAAATCCAGAATGAGAGGGTCTGCGTTTGGAGGGTGTGGGAAGATGAACACACTAACAGGCAGTGCCAGCCAGGCTAACGCTGTGGTCTCTGATGTGGTGATAAAACACACCGGCTCTGGGGCTGACAGACCTTCATTTGCCACCAGCCCCCCTTGTGGGCTATAACCTTGAACAAGTCTTCTCAGACTTTTCTGGCCTCGATTTCTGCATGTGCTCAAAGAGGATAATTAACAATACCTAACTCATAATGTTTTAAGGACTAAATTAGACAAGGATTGTACAGAACTAGAGCAATGACTGGCTTATAGCAAAGGCTCATCGAATGCTAGCTTTCCCGGATATTACCGTGTTCTCTTGAATTAACAAAGGAGGGTACTTTCTGGGGTAACCAACTAGTCCTCTGTGTTTGCCCAGGACTTTCCTGCATCAAAATGGAATGTCTCACTTCCAGGAAACTCCCTCAGTTCTGGGCACACTGGGCAAACTACATTTTTTCTTGGTCACGGTCTGTGGGAAGCTGGGCTTTGAAAACTGTCAAGTTTCATATGTAGACTTGTAAGTGCCATTGTCACCGGTGTCCTCCCCCTGACCCTTGGGTGGCAATGGCTCTGACCTAGTGTACCCATGACAAAGCATCCACTTGAACGTGTGCAGACCCAGGTCTGAGTCCCAGCTGTACCATCTTGCTCAAAGCATTTAACTTCTCAGAACCCCAATTGTAAAATGAGCCTCAATAAATCTACCTGAAATCATTCTGAGACTCAAGTTAAAAAGATGACAAGGTTTGCTGAACCATCAATTGTTGTAGAGATTGTGACTCTCCTTGGGTGGTGGCACAGAATGATTCTGAAAGCCACTGGAGATCGAGTGGGCAGGGAGTGAATTGTCCAGGCAGAATGCAGGGGTCCTGAGCACTGTTACTGCAGTCATGTCTTGACCTCTGGGACTTGGGGACCACCGATCTGCAGTGACTTCAGCCTGGACTCTCAGGAAGTTTATGACTGTTAAATCAAGTGCTCCTCATGCTGGTTAAGAGAGCCAGGCTGTATTTGGCTGAGAGTAAGGAAAGGGAGGAAAGGAGAAAGGAATAGGGGAGGAGTGTGTGTGTGTGTGTGTGTGTGTGTACACCAGTGTCTCCCATCGCTACCACTCAGGTCTTACCTGGATATTCTGAGCATCCTCAGATCTTGTCACCATCACCAGGTGTTGAGTCTGCCTCACCTACTTGGTTTGCCTACCCTTCTTCTCCTCAAGAGGACTTGCTAGAATCTCAGTTTTCTTCCTTCCCCATAACAGCAGCACAGACTAAAGACTCAGGGCTGGAGCGATCTGTCCTCAGGAACAGGAGCCAGGAGGAGCTGTGGGCTTTTCACATGCAGTGTCTCCTGGGACTCAATCCCTGACCTCCTAATTAGATACAAGAGGAGGGCAAAAGTCCAACCCTTCGGCTGTCCCCTCTGGCCCTGGAGCCCTGAGTCTCAGCAGTGTCAGAGTCACTCTTATTTCAGGGTGGCCAGGTCTGGGAATCCTGACAGCACTGCCCTGGTTCCCCTCCCGTGGTGGGCTCCATCTCCCCCAACCCTGACCTGCCACGGAGTCCACACACTCTCATCAGACTCCAAGCCTCGTAAAGAAAACCTATCATTTCCCAGCAAATCAATAACAATAAATGAATTGAAGAGATTTGGTATTAGGTGAGCCACACAATCATTGTCTTCAAATTCCTGCAGTTCAATACGTGGGAAACAGACTTGTTCTCTGTGACCCCTTTGCGCATGTCCTTACCCACGGTGCACACAGGAAAAACCTATGGTGGGGGTTGCCTAACTGCAAAGTTAATTACAATACTATGAACACTGGGTCGCGTCTGGTTAAGTCCTTTCTGCTACTGCGCGGTCATGGCTGTCGGGTTGTAACCGGTTTCTTGCTGACATTCATTTAGAAGTAAAGTCCCTTTATGCTGGAGGCAGGCATGACATCAACTTTCAGACCATCCTCCCTCTCCTCCATCCATCTGCCCGGTGTGCCCACTTAATCTAACTACCTAACATTTTGGCAAGAAAATAAATGCATATTCATATGAAATGAGATAAATGCGTATTTTAAAATAGCCACATGGCAATCCAGGTCAGTTTTTGCCACAAAATGAGTTTGCTGAAACTCTGTAAGATAACGCTCATTGATTTTTGAATTTTGGGGCTGCAGCTGAAGGAGAGTGGGCTTACATTCGATTGTGGGATAGTACCATCATGCATTTATCCACCCTAATGTTGATGGACATTTGAGTTTGTTGCCAGGCTTTTGCCATCCCCCCACCCCTCCGTTGTTTATTACCTCAAGTAGAACTCCTCCTGTTCTCATTAAAAAATGAAAAACATCACATTTGAATAAATGTGGCTTCTCCACCGTTCACTTGTTCTTAGACAAAAATTTCTACGTGCAAACTGCAAAAACTTTTAGACTATATCCCTCTAAAAAGAACATCTCCACCATAACAGTTTTATCATTCCTTTATTCTGTTATTGACATTTTAGTGACAGCCCCAGCTTTATTATTTCAGCAGAAATGTCTAGAGAACTGGGTTTTTTTTCCCCTCCATTTCTTTTATATCAAGTTGTTAGATTGTTTCCATGGGTGAGAGAGTAAAATCACAATAAATGAAGCCAGAACGTTTTTTCCGTTTTTGAACTGCTGCACTCATGAACACCCTCATTCAATCTCCTGGTGTACCTGCTCAGGTTTCTCTAGGGTTCCTACCAAGGAGAAGAATTGTTTGCAAGATATTGGTTAATGCGTTCGTTTGGATCTTCTGAGAAGCAGGTGCCAAGGCGGGATTCGGTGTATAAGAGATTTACTGAGAAGGGAGCAGGAGAAATCAGGACCTTCCAACTCTGATGCAGTTCTGAGACCTGTGGAAGAAAGGAGGGAAGGAAGAAGGAAGCGGGTAGGATTAGTCTCAGACTACAGCAAAGTACCAAGAAAGTTTTTGTTTTTTTAATTGAAGTATAGTTTATATATAATGTTGTGTTAGTTTCTGAGGTACAGCATAGTGATTCCGTCATATGTATATGTACATACTCTTTTTCATGATAGGTTATTACAAGATATTGAATATAGTTCCCTGTGCTATACAGTAGGTCCTTGTTGTTTATCTATTTTATATATAGTAGTTTATATCTGCTATCCCAAACTCCTAATTTATCTCTCCCACCTTTCCCCTTTGGTAACCATTTTAAGTTTGTTTTTTATGTCTGTGAGTCACTGTTTTGTAAATAAGTTCATTTGTATCATATTTTAGATTCCACGTATAAGTGATATATGACTTCACTTAGTATGATCATCTCTAGGTCCATCCACGTTGCTGCAAATGGCATTATTTCATTCTTTTTTATGGCTGAGTAGTATTCCATTGTATATATCTATCACTTCTTTATCCAGTTACCTGTTGATAGACATTTAGGTCTTCCATGTCTTGGTACTGTAAACAGTGCTGCTAAGAACACTGGGGTGCATGTATCTTTTTGAATTGGAGTTTACTCTGGATATATGCCCAGGAGTGGGATTGCTGGATCATATGGTAAGTCTGTTTTTAGTTTTTTAAGGAATTTCCACACTGTTTTCCATAGTGGCTGCACCAAATTACATTCCCACCAACCAGTGTAGGAGGGTTTCCTTTACTAGGAAGTTTTGATACCCCTGCTATGCTTAATCATTGGCTAAGAGCAGCCTGTATAAGTGTAGCCTTTGTGTTGGGCACTGAAAACAAGTACACAACCTAAATATTGAGAATTATATTTGTATTTGGCAGATACGCTGAGGACATAAGCCCAGGAGACAGCCTCTCAGAGAGCTCTGAGGGACTGCTCCAAAGAGCTAAGGGAGAAGCCAGTATTTACATAGGAGTTTTTGCCCCCAAATCCAGGTAGTCGGTACATCAAACTATTACTGTTAATTAAAGCAAAAGCAGACATCTCAATTTAATGAATTTAGTACTTTTCTATGTATGGGAAGATGCAAGAGTCTGAGCTCCTTGAAATCATTCCTTTGATACGCACCTTAACTATTAGGGCCAGTATCCTGTTCTCCCCACCCCAATCCTGAATCCCTTCAGAGTGCACAGTCAGGGTGGCTGCAGTTGTTGATGGCCTGATGGGCACAACATCCTTTGTTTACTAATATGGCAGGTGACATTCTTCATCCACAGAACAAACCTGGTGATGGTTTGGGAGGGGCAGCAGCTGGGAGAGTTAGTCCGTTTTGCTCCCACCACAGGAAAGTTGAGTTGTGCATTATCACGCGTCCCACAGCCTAAGCTTTGTGCCACACAGATCCACTTCCCCACACACGTATGGTGAGCTCTTCCTCCATGGATTCTTTAGGCCACTTTTCCCCGGGGGACACTTAGCAGAGGGAGGGTAGTGGGATGAACCTCCTTTGCCACAGTTGGTGTCCAAGTTGCAATTAGTGCTCCCCCTCTGCCTCCTCCTCTCTCCATTCTAAATTCCTCCCACCCTCACCTGTCA